CAATTTTGAAGCTGCTCTCCTTCCCTCTGGTCCTCGAGCCCAGAAAGGTTGGAGACCTCTTGTGTATAGCATCTAGTCTGTGAAGCAACTCTTGAACCAATGAGAAACTAATCACAATACATAAAGTACAGTATGTGTCTATACGTCTATATACAGTAGGTGTATGTGGTTTTATACACACTTACATGGCAATTCACTAACAGTTTCATAAACAGGATTTTTAAAAAAAATAAACAGGAAAGTTTGAAATAAAATGGGCCAAATCAATGCAAAAACTCTGCATTGTATAATACTATATATATATATATATATATATCAATAAGACACAAATTGAACCAGAAAATACACTGCAAATGAGGAACTGTATGATTACTGACATGGTTAATAGGGTGTGCATCACTTTGGAAATAATACAGGAAATATGCAGTGTGTAGTTTTCTTCTGCAGCTGCAGTATAATCTTGGGGAAAAATGCACCTGCTTTCAAGAGTTGCATAATAAACATAATTGGGGGTGGGGGAGTTTATGGAAAGGTACCAAGAAATTTTCTAAATGAAGAAAGAGTTGAATCTTGATTTCCGACATTTTCTCATGTGGTTTCAACTAGAAAGTAGAGTAAAAAAAAATGTTTCAAATAGACAACCTACGTGCATTGTATGCCTTTCAATTATTGACATGTGCACTGAAATAATTGTTTTTTTTCAATTCTATGAAAAAACTAGAATAATCAACTATTTGAGAGCTACATAATTAGTTTAGTATTCATATTATTCCTCAGGAGATGCTTTAAACCTTTTCACTGATAATTGTGTCAAAAGAAAAGGTAACCCATTTCAAAGTTGCTACTATCTGTGTTTCCCTGAAAATAAGACCCCGTCTTATATATTTTTGGCTCCAAAAGAGGCACTAGGTCTTATTTTGGGGGGGGATGTCTTACCATGGACCACCACAGCGAGGCCTCACAGGCCCCAACACCTGTCGCATCACTGCTTGACTTCTTCAGTGGCCACTTGCCGCTACATGCGGCTGGATGCCATGTGGTGCATTGCGCCATTGCCTCTGCTCGTGGCAGGAGGCCGCATTTATTTTATTTATTTATTTATTTCAATTTGTATCCCGCCCTTTTCCCGAAGGACTCAGGACGGCTCACAACATTTTATAAAACAAAAACAAACCCACAAACCCCACCGAATAAAACCAAATTAAAACCAATATTTTAGTGTTGTGGTATTAAAATTTCTAAGAAACCCAATTTAAAATCCTCCCTAGGCCAGGCCCGCTTGTTGGAAAAGCCATGTCTTGAGGGCGCGGCGGAAAGTAAGGAGATCCGGAATCATCCGG